TTTTGAATATTGGGACTACCGTAGCCCTCCGCCAATCACAGGGGATCCTACCAGTCATTAAGGAGTCCTTAAAAATGAGGATTAATGGTATAGTTATAACCTGGCTTAATTCCTTAAGTTTCGCGGTAAAAAAAAAAAACGCGTGACAAACGCGCGTTTCCCGAGGGCTACTTAGCGGTATCCCAATGGAAACGCGCGACAAAAACGCCCCAAAGAAGCTCCTGCACTTCTTTGGGTGTAGGGCGTTTTGTAGCGCGTCCATACGGCCTGTAATACGCCCGGGGGTGAACCATACCCATAGGAAATAATGGGATTTCGGTGTTTGAGCGTTTTGCAGAGCGTAGGAACGCGCTACAAGACGCCCAGGTGTGAACCGGGCCTTAGGATTGGAGGAAAACTGTTATCTTGTCTCTGCAATCGGAAGTTTTACTCGTGAGGCTAGTCCCTCTATTTTTAGGTAAACATTTTTATGAAAAAGTAGCGTCTTATACACGGAAAAATACGGTGAGAGCAGAACTGCGCCCGCCGGATCCCGGTATGTGCGGATTTGCGGAAGGGGGGAGGATTTAGGTCGGGGGTGGGGGATGAAAAGGATAAGTCTACTGTTCTGGAGTCATTGAAAGGCCGCTTCGGATTGGTTGCTCGGGCTTCCCTTAGCTCAGTAGGGGACATCGGGAGATTCCCGACATGTATCATAGAACAAAGTCTCGCCTCTCACCCTCTGAGCTTCTTTAATCAGCTGGTCACAATAATCGAACCAGGATAAGAAGGAGATGAGCGCTCTCTTCCCTGGGAACGCTGAAGCGTCTTCCTTAACATTATACGAGTCCAGCCTGGGGAGGGGAAGAGAGGAAAATAGTCAGTCAGTGTACACAATATATAAACCTGCTACAGAAACAGCCCACCACCACCCAGACCAGCGGCCGGCATAGAAATGATCCTGCCAAATAGTGCCGGGACCAGGCCCAGTATCACCCACGACGAAAAAGCCAAAGCGGGATAAGTAAATCTCAGGACTGGATGGACAGGAATGCAAATCCTTTGGTGCAGTGAATGGTCTGGTGCAGGGCTAGGGAACCTGGGCTCTCTGGCTGTGCTGAAACTACAAATCCCATAAGGCATTGCAAGCCACAGGCATGACTCCCAGAGGCAGAAGCATGATGGGATTTGTAGTTTCAGCACAGCTGGAGAGCCAAGGTTGCCTACCCCTGGGTCACTCTAGTGAAAGGGCTTCTTTAAAGGACATTTTAATACGTATACTTTATGATACATGCGTAGAATATACACATTGGGGGGGGATTTATCAAAACTGGAGCAGACACTGGAGCAGTTGCCCATGGCAACCAATCAGCTTCTCTCTTCAGTTAGTTCATTTGAGATTTTAAAATGAAAGACAGAAGCTGATTGGTTGCCGTGCACAGCTGCTCCAGATTCTGTCTGCCCCAGTTTTGATAAATCCCCCCTCACAGTCTTCAGAGAGCGACGCACACATATACGTTTATATTGCAGTGGTCATACTGCTGACTCTTGATGGTCAGCAAGGGCCATCGTCGTATGATGGAGGGAAGGGGTGACAGAGGCAGGAAGAAAGGGAAAGGCCGACAATCTGCCGGTGCGTGGCCAGAATACAACTAACATATAGAAAAGTCAGATTTTTACCCCCAGTTGATCCCCTCCACGGTCTCGATGTCCAGCGGGTCGATGGACTGCGGCAGAGCGCGGTACAGGGAGGTCAGCCGGTCGGTGAGCAGCTCACATAAACTGGTGTTCTGCGTAAGGCACTTGGCGGCAGCCGCCTCTGGAAGACTGACTAATAACATGAGGCCCTCGCAGGCTTTCACCGCAACCCGGCCGTCCTGAAGGAAGAGAGCAAACAATATAAACGCCACATTCTCCGGGGGCCCCCCGGAAACACGCGCTCTGCGGGATTTTTCACTCACCGGGCTCTTGGTCAGGTTGAGTAAGGAATTCACCAGGTTGTAGTCCTGCTGCACATAATTGGCAGATACTCCTCTTTCAGCCCCGTCATCTGTAGAACTTCCACAAGGGGGAGCAGCAGCGACGACTCCACCTTCAGCCCCGTCATCTGTAATACTACCACTAGGGGGAGCTGCTGGTACAGACCCATTGGCCTCGACCCCATCGCTGGGCTGCAGCGGAGACTGGCCTGTGTCATTGGCAGGTACTTTCCCTGGGCTGCCCGCAACAAGTCCTCCGAGGCTGTTTGAGGATCCGACTGTTGGAAGGGGCTTCGTCTTATTCTGAAAACAAATACGAAACACAACAAATGTCAGTCAGGAAACAGACGGGGCGGCATCTATAGGACCTCAGCTGGCCTCTTCTTAGGAGTCTCATACAGGATTGAAGTCTTCCATGCAACCCCAGGCACTTGTCAAGGTGTCTTTGTACCTAAAGCATTAGGAGGGCACTGGGCATGAGGTAAGTATCACACCTTATTACTACAAGGAAAAGCAAGCATTTAACCCTTG